AAAATAAAAAAGAAGATGATAACAAACAAAACAGAACCAAAATCAAAGAGAACTGAACCCAAAGAGAAGTGGGTGTAACTGAAGGTGGGATGGGGGGGCGGGCGGCTGGCCAAGAACGCTTCCCTCAAGGGGGACAGCTGCGGTCCCCACTACGTGTCAGGTGCCACTAGAGGTCTGACCCTGACAGTGTGCCTGGCGTCACACTCACAGCTCAACAGCAGTAAGAGCAGCTCCTGACTGAGCACCTACTGTGTGCCAGGCATGAGGAAGGTGACCAGCAGTCAAGCTCCATTTACCAGGTACCTACTGTGTGCCAGGCACAAGCAAGGTCACGGACTCAAACTCCACCGACCATGCACCTACTGTGTGCTAGGCGCCCTGTCAAGGTCTTCAGGAATAAACAGAAAAACTATTTCCTGAGCACCCACTGTGTGCTCGGTGAGGAGCTCTGGTTGTGCAGTGGATAAAGTGCTGCCTGGAAGCCCCAGGGTCCCAAGCCCACAACCGCTGCTGAGAAAGGCGTGTGTGGAACGGTCTATGTCAGTGAAGACAGCAGGACTCGAGTCACTGCAAACTTGTCCTACAGGGTCCCCGGGTCAGAATCGATTCAAGGGCAGCTGGCAGGGTGTGCCGGGGGCCAGGCACCAAGCTAGAGGGAAGAGCAAGGAAAAGCCACCAATTACTGAGCACCAAGTATATGCATCATGCTAAGGGCTGCAAGAATATGTGGCACCAGCATGTGCCAGGTGCCAACACCACAGCGAGGTACCATACCAAGGGGAAAGGCAGCCAAAGCTCCAGGTACCAAGGAGCCCTGGTGGCACAGGTGAAGTTCTGGGGTGCTCCCTAAGGGTCAGCAGCTGCTCTGTGTGAGAAAGATGGGGTGCCCTGCTCCCTTTAAGATGTACACCTTTAGGAACCCAACAGAGGGGTACCAGGAGTCAGGGCGGACTTGAGAGCGGGCTTGGCTTTCTGGTTTGTCTAACTGAGTGCCTACTGTGTGCCAGGTGCTGTGCCATGGGCATCACAGAATAACGGCAAAGATGTAACAGGAGCTGTATCAACACCCACTGTGTGCCAGGCACGACTGTGCAACAAACACGCCCGGGGCTTCACGGGCTCACAGTGCACACGCTCAGTTATGGAGCACCTACTGCATGCAGGCAGCGTGCTGGGAACGGCAAGATGAGCTCCACGCACGGAGCACCTACTGTGCGTCAGGCAGTGCGCCCAGGGCCACACTAACCAACAGCAGATGCATCTATTCATTGAGCTCCTACTGTGTGCAAGCACTAGGCCAGAGCAATAGCCATAAAGGCCTCCTGTATTGGGCACCTACTGTGTGCCAAGTATTGCACCAAGGACTTCAAAGAATAATGGTGAAAGCCGTTTAATACACGCTTACTGCATACACTTCAGCTGGGAGCCCTGGTGGCAAAATGGATTAAGTGTTGGTCTGCTAACAGTAAGGGTGGTAGTTCAAACCCACCAGCCACTCCACAGGAGGAAGAGGTGGCCACACGCGCTTCCTTAAACAGTAAGGCCTTAGAAAATGCCGTGGGGATGGTCTGCCCTGCGCCCCAGGGCCCCTCTGAGCAGGACCCGCTCGGTGACGGGGGTCTGCCTTTTGGTTTGGTGTGTTGGCTAATGGGTGGTGATCAAGCTAACCAAGGGCTTTACAGAGTAAAAACGTGTGTACTTAGTGCACACCTACTGTGTGTCAGTACAGCTCATGGGGTTTGAAGTCCTTTTCGAACTCACTGCTGCATACAGCTCCCGTTCTGCACACCCACTGTGCAGCTGTGTCCTACAGGTCATCCTTTTCCATTCTGAGGCCCTACTGTGCACGTGGTACCATACCAAGCCCACTCCAGATTCTTATCACCCCTCACCTACTGAGTGTCTACTGTGGGCTGGGCACTGAAATCACATTCTAAGGATAAAAGTAACAGCTGCAAAAAAAAAAAAAATCACAGTTGCTATTTATACTGTGATACTGTGTGCTAGAAAACTGGTCTTTACTGAGTAACAGTGGTGTTTTTGTTGTCAGGTGCCCGAGTCGGCTCCTATTCATAACGTACAGAGAGGAAACGCCGCCCGGCCCTCGCCATCTGCATTACTGTCCCAGCCCCGTTAAACATCTTGGTGAGGGTCTTCGTCCCTTTACTGACCCTCTACCAGGTAGATGTCCCCTTCCAGGGACTGGTGCCTCTAGAGGACATGGCCAAAGTCCATGAGACACAGCCTGGTCACCCCTATTTCTAAGAAGCATCTGACTTTACATCCAAAGCAGTCTTGGTTCTCCCAGTGGCCCTGCCTTCACTGTTCAGAGGCTTCGCTCTCCCTCCTCAGTCCGCCTTCCTCACAGGCCCATTCCCACAGGCATCCAAGTCACCGAACCACTACGGCTTGGGCGGGGTGTACCTCAGGCCTCAAAGTGACAGCATTTTACAGAGCTCCTCAGCACAGATTTGCCCAATGCAAACGTCGTTTGATTTCCTGACTACCGTTTCCCCGGGCACTGCTGGTGGATCCAAGTGAAATGAAGTTTCTGACAAGTATAATCTTTTATCCACTTATCACGTCGCTGCTCGCTGGCCTCGTGGTGAGGATTCTTGTTTTCTTTATGTTGAGGTGTAATCCACACAGAAGGCTGCAGTCTTTGATGTTTGTTGGGAAGTGCTTCAAGTCCGCTTCACTTACATCAAGCAAGATCGTCATCTGTGCACGGTTTCGCCTCCAATCCTCTCACGCTCCCCTTCACAGAGTCCGGCTTCTGGGATTATATGCTCAGCATATAGATCAAATTATTACGGTGGAAAGCTAAAACCCTGATGCACACACCTTTGCTGATTTTAAACCACCCGGCACCCCCTGTTCTGTTGGAACAAATGACTGTCCTTGGTTTACGTACAGATTTCGCCTGAGCCTAATTAAGTGTTCTGGGATTCTTCTGTTCCTCGCAATGTTACGCACGATGTGTTATGATCTGCACAGCCAAATGCCTCTGCAGAGTCAATAAAACACAGGCAAACATCTTCCTGCTATTTCCAGCCAAGATCCATCTGACATCCCCGATAATAACTTTTCAGCCTCCTTTTCTTTTTTCTTTTCTCTCCTCTCCTCTCTTCTCTGACTTCAGCTTGAATTTCTAGCAGTCCTGTCAATGCAGCCATTTTTTTTTTCACCTGGAAAATTCACAACAAAATTGTACTTGTGTGTGACAGTAATGATTTTGTTTGATCCCTTCTCATTCTGCTGGATCACCCTTCTTTAGAAGGTGCACCGACAGGGATCTCCTCCCGTCAGCTGGCCAGGTAGCTGTGTTCCAAAGTGTTCAGCACAGGTGGCCGACCACCTCCAGGGCGGCATCTGGGGAAATGACCCAGCTGGTATCCAGTCAGGTCCTGGAGATGGGTTTGGGTTTGTTTGTGGTTTTTTTTGCCAATGCCTTCAGGGCTGCCCTTGGCTCAGACCCTCTGCTACTCAGTGAAATGGCTGAGCGCCACACCCTTCTTCCTGGGACACTGACCGAATTCTTTGCACCATCTTTTATTGTTTTCTGTATCATCTGGTACTCCTCCAGTGTTGCACCCCAGAGTGTGAAGTTTTTCTTCCATTACTGCAGCTGGAGAAATGCCGAGCACATTCTCCCTTCTCGGTTTCTAACTCTGGCCCCTCACACATGCCGTCACACTGCTTGCTCTTGCTCAGACATCTTTTCAAGCCTGTCTGTCTTCCTCATTCCTTCCACTTTGCATCCCTTTATTTCTACCCCCACTCCTGCCCTTAACTACCTCTTGCCCTCTTCATGGACGGTGTTCTCGATGTCACTCGCAGCTTGTCTGGGCCTCAGTCTTCAGTGTTATCTCTGCTGAGGTGGTTTCACAGCCAGGTGGGTGGGGGTTCCTCAAGGCCATGCTTTGCTTCTTATGGGCGCGTTCTCATTTTCTCCAGCTTCCACCTGACCTGCCCAGGAGAACGTCACGGTCAGTTCCACAGTCGGGCTCGGCCTTGCTCTGACTTCGGAGATGCAGCTTCCCTGGTTCTTCTTCCGCCGAGACCATCCTCTGGATTCCTGCGTATTGCATCTGCCGAGGTCCATGTGCACTGTCAGGTGCAGTGGACTTGACGACACAGCTCAGAGCCTTGCCCGATCCCGTGCCACCCTCTCAGCGTCCACCAGGCTCAAGGCCACCATTGCAGCCACGGCCTCACTCCTTCTCCTCGAGGGTCTTCCACCTTCTCGAGAGCCTCTGCATTTCCCATCCTAATGTATGTGGTGTCACCGTGTTACGGTGCCAACAAAATGTTCCTGTTAGGTGCTGTCGAGTCATGCAAGTGGCCCTGTGACTGACAGATCTGAAGCCCGTCCTCTCCTGCGCCGTCCTCACAATCTCCGGCACGCTGGAGCCCAATGCTGCAGTCACTGTCACCGTCAGCCCACCTCACTGAAGGTCTCCCTCTCCTTTGTCACCCCTCCACCTTCCCAAGCACGATGACCCTCTCCAAGGAACAGCCTCTCCTAACAACATACTCAAAGCAAGTGAGACGAAGCTTCATCATCTTTGCCTCCAAGGAGCATTCCAGCTGCATCTCCTACACCATGTATCTGTTCCCTTGGTCGTTCATGGGATATCATTCAGCGTTCTTCTCCGATGCCACAGCTCAAAGGCATCGCTTCCTCCTTATTCATCATGCACCTCTCTGATGCCCAGCCAAGTGACAGCAAAGGCACTCTGAATCAGACACACCTTGGTCCTCATACTGACATCACTGCTCCTCAGTACTCTGGAGAGGTCCCCGACAGCCGACTTTCCCAGTGCAATCCGTCTCCTATCTCCTGGCTGCAGACCCTATTGAACGAAGGTAAGCTGCACTAAGCGGCCAGTCTGCGCTGCAATCTCCGGTGTGCTGTCTGCTGGAAGGCCGTTATTTTCCTATTCCCAATCCTCTCCTCCTCGGCTTCCACACTCACCGTCGAATCACCAGTAATTATCAATGCGTCTTGGTTGCACGTGCGAGCGAGTTTGAGACTGCAGAAGTCAGTGCAATCCTCCCGTGTCCTCAGCCCTGCCATCAGTGGCCGGGCATGAATTTGGAGCCTGAGTTGTACTAACCGGCCTTCCCCCGAGGGATGTGCACATTTCTCTGGCTCAGGGCAGATCGTGCAACACTCTTGGACAACGAGTGTGTCCTCTAAAGTGACACCTCCCACATACTAAGCCACTATTGTGTGCCAAGCGATTACTGAGGGCCTCATGGCATATTCATCACTCTTCTCGCATTATGGATTTTATCAAGTAACTGTGCTGTTGTTGTTAGGTGCCTTCGAGTCTATCATGACCCACAGCGATCTTATGAATGACAGACCTGGACCCTGTCCTGTCCTGTGTCATCCTCACACTTCCTGGCCCAATACAGCCGATTGCTGCAGTCACTGTGTCGATCCACCTGGCTGAGGGTCCTCCTCTCCTTCATGAACCCCCCACCCCGCCAAGCTTGATGCCCCTCTTCAGAATATGCTCTCCCAGCAACATACCCAAAATACGTGATGAAGCTTCGTCATCTTTGCCTCCAGGGAGAACTCTGGCTGCACTTTCTCCAAGACATACTTGTCTTTTGCCAATCCATGGGACATTCAGCCCTCTTCTCCAACACCACAGCTCAAAAGCATCACGACTTCTTCTGCCATCCTTATTCGTTTTCCATCTGACTCTCAGATGCAAAGTGATCAGAAATATCATGGCCTGAATCAGATGCACCTTAGTCCTCAAAGTGACACCACTGCTCCTCTATAGCTTGGAGAGGTCCCTAACTGCAGACTTTCCCAGTACAATGTTGTTGTTGATTGCCTTTGAGTAGAGCACGACTCATAAGGACCCTATGAACAAAAGGCCTGAAAGCCCCTCTACAACTATCGATATTTATCAAAGTTCATAGAGTTTCCGGAGGCGTGCCAAGTCCAATCTGTCTCCCGATTTCCTGACTGCTGGTACTAAGAGTGTTGACTGTGGATCCAAATAAGAGGAAATTGTTGGCAACTTCTATCTTTTCTCTACCATGGTGTTGCCTACTGGGCTAGTGGTAAGTATCTTTGTTTTCTTGACACTGAGATGCAATCCAAATTGAAGGCTGCATTCCTTGATCTTCTGCAACAAGTGCTTCAGGTCCTCCTCACCTTCAGCAAGTAAGGTTGTGTCATCTGCACAACACAGGATGTTGATGAGTCGTCTTCCAATCTTGATGCCACATTCTTCTTCGGAGTCCAGCTTCTTGAATAATTTCCTCAGCATACAAAGTAATTTTATCAGTTTCCTCCTATACAGCACCTACTGTGCACCAGGCATTCCGTCAATGGCCTTATATATAAAAACAGTAACAATCCTTTTACTGAACACCCACTATGTGCATACCAAGGGCTTTGTAGATAAGCTCAAGTCTTGAATGCCAACTGTTACCTGGCACCATGCTAGGCTCTGTATCACTGAACGACTCCACCTGAGGACCTACTCTGTGCCCCGCACCAGGCTGACCTCTTTATAGTAAATGCCACTCACAGAACACTCCTGTGCCTGGCCTCACTGCAAGGACTGAAGCCTCCGGGTTCTGTGCACTAGACACTGGGCTAAGCTTCTCACTGACCTCACTGGCTTCCATCCCTCAGTGCCAGCTGTGTACTCAGCCCAGCCCCAGCCTATTTTCAGACTGGGAGCTGCATTTATAGAGCACCTACTGTGTGCTTGGCCGTACATGTGCAGGGCTTCACTGAATGACCACATGCTCAGCCCCTACTGTGTGCCAGGCAGAGAGGTAAGGGCTTTGTGGAAAAGCAGCAGAAGTTCCCTGTGTGCTGAGCCCCACTATGGGCCAGGCCGTGCACTTTGTTATACCTACTGTGCACCCCGCCTTCCCACTTTTTACGGTGTCACAGTGGGCAGCACTGAGCTAAATGCTTCCCATAATTATCTTGGTCAACTCTTAGGTCCCCAGAGGTGACTGGAACTCTATATGCCCCAGCACGTGTTAGCTGTGGGGAAGGCAGGCTCTGTGCCTGTCTGTGTATTCCTGAGCCTTCGGTGTGCCAGGCCCTATGCCCCAGCACATGTTAGCTGTGGAGGAGGTGCACTCCGTGCCCACTTCTCTGGTTCTCTGTGTGTACCTGCACCTCTGTTTGCCAGGCCCTGTGCTATGACCCACCATGTGAGCTGTGGGGAAGGTAGGTCCATGCCCACTTCCCCGTGAATTCCTGAGCCTCCTATGTGCCAGGCCTTGTCCTGTGCCCCACCACATGTTAACTGTGGGGAAGGCAGGTTCGTGTCCACCTCTCTGGCTCTCTGTGTATACCTGCACCTCCTGCATCCCCCAGGCCCTGTCCAGGTGCTTTTCACCTATCACCTCCCTCAGTCTGTCCCAAAGCCCCGAGATGGGCCTACTTCTCAGATGGGCAAAGAGCAGTGTGCTCCCTGTCCAAGGCCTTAACTGCTGCCCACAGGCTTATGTGGCTTAAGGGAGGGTGATCATATAGCTCAGATCAGCCGAGGACTGTGTGGATGGTCCCTGACTGTAGCGTGCACCCCTGCCTTGTTCAGAGGAGCTGAGGGGGTCTGCCGGTCTTGCCCGAGCTCCAGGCACAAAGAGCCTTGTCCCTCACACCAGCCTGTCCACTGAGAAACTGTGACTGAGTAACTTCACTACCTGCGCCCCTCTGCCAGGCTCTGGGGTGCAAAGACTAACTAGAAGCCCCTGCCTTCAAAGGCACCAGACTTTTGGGGAGTCAAGAAGCCACTCCAATAGTGATCCTCTCAGTCTCATTTTAAGTAAAACAGCTCCAGAAAATAAGACACTTGGGCTGGTTCCCCCATTTCTTGACCAGCCACCCCAAACAAAAGTGCCTGGGTGGGGGGATCAGGCAGGGGTGGAATGAAAAAAAAAAACCAATTAAGGGATGATCTGGTAGGGATGACTTTGCTGAGAAAGAGGAAGGAAAAAACAAAAATCAAACCAAAACCATAATAAAATAAGAAACAACGGTGATGGTGATGATGATGAGAAAAACCATAATAAAAGAAAGAAAGACGCCTTCCAGAAAAACTCCCAGTCTGGTTACCTACCTTCCACTCTTCAACTGCTAACTTATAAGACTTTCTTACGAGGGAGGGAACAGCCGAGGGCTGAATTACGAGGCCAGACTGAGCTCGTGGTGGGTCTCGGACTCCATTGGGCTCTCGGCCCGGCCCTGGCCCCTGGCACAGGCGAGACTCGGTTCCAGTGAGGCAGGAGGGCGGAATGGTGTCTGAAGAGACCCACGGCTGAGTGGTCTGGCCTCCACCTACCCTTGCATTCAGCCTGGGGAGCCCGAAGCCCACGGATACGCCTGGCCCTGAGTCTCTGCTGTCGGCTCTCTTGGTCCCCACCCGTCCTGGGGGTGAGAAGCGGAGAGCCCCTTCTCCCCACTCCCTGTCCTGGGCCACCCCGGAGATTCACGTGGCTGGGCCGAAGCCGCTTCCTAGGAGGCCTCAGGGGCCACGTCTGTCACAATCCAGCCCACCCTGCGTGACATTACGGGAGAGGAGGGACACGTGCATAGACACATGGGGGCGGTGTCGTGTGCTCTGGTTCCTGCTGTCCCACTTATGGGGGTTCAGAGAAGTTTCGAGGGCCCGAATTGGGGCTCCAACATTTGGGTGGCCCAGAGCTGCCAGGGCCAGGCTGGAGGGGCACACAGGGTGGGCTGTCTTTGTGATTTGCTTGAGACCAGCACATACTCACCTTGGTGGCACTTGGCCAGTCTCGAGTGGCTGTCCAAGCCACAGGCCACCCTCACTGACTCCACCTCACACACAAGTGTGCCCAGCTCCGCTGAGCAGGGAGGGGGTGGGGAGGAGGAGGAGGGCCGGGTGGCAGGGTCTGCATCTCTGGGCCAGCCAGCCCAGCCTGAAGTGTGGGTGACCCCTGCTCACCCACTGACTGCCGTGCACACTCCCGGGTGTGAAGGAGCTTCCACTTCGGGAGGGGCTGAGCAGGAAGAGGAGGGGGGCGGGAGGGGCAGGGAACGCTCGGCAGGTGGGGACCTGCCAGGCTGGGAGGCAGGGCGCAGCAGGGGCCGCTGGTGTCGCTCGAAGCCCCCCAATGGTGTGTCTAAGTTGTGGCAGGGCGGCCAGGCAGGTGGAATGAACAAGTCCAAAGATTCAATCAGAATGAGGGAGGGGCCCAGGAACCCCACACCGGGGTCAGCTCTGCCCGTTCCCCACCCCATGCCCCTAGGGGCTGTCCCGGGCACTGCCCGCCATCTGGGGACGAGGGTGTGTGTGTCTGAGTGTCCTCCAGATGACAGCCTCGCTGCGTGCCCAAGGAAGGCCTGGGCGCGGGGACAGTGAGGCTGTGTGGTTCGCCCCAAATTCATGAGCTGGGAGGAGCTCATGGGACCACGGAGCGGGGTGTCCACCATGCCCGCCTAGGGGAGGGAGGCTGGGGTGTCTGTGTGAACCTCTGTGGCCTGCACGGTCAGCGCGCCTCGAGGCTCCAGGTGAGGTGTGTTGGAGGCGCCCCCCCACCCCCGGTGCCGCTCTGCCCGCAGCAGCGGCTCCGTGAGACACGTACTGGACTGCAAGGTGCGCTGCCGCACCACTGACGTGAAGGCGCCCAGGCCCTGCAGCGAGCGTGCGGCCAGGCGGAAGGCATACTCCGTGTGCGGCTTCAGGTCCTCCACCACGAACACAGTCGTTGGGTCAAAGGTCCTCCCGACCTGGGGCAGGGGAGACGACGGCAGAGGGGACGGAGGGAGTCAGAGACACGGTCAGAGAGACAGAGGGTCAGAGGGGGACAGACTGTGAGAACAACAGGCAGGGACAGTGCAAGAGTTTCCATGGGGGACAGAATCAGAGAATGAGATGGTGGACAGAGAGACAAAGATATAGACTGTGACATAGAGACAGACGGACAAGAGGGAGAGACAGACACAGGGAGGCAGGATCAGAGATTAACAGGGGACAGAGAGATGGACAGAGACATAAAGAGACAAGAGTTAGAGACACAGACAGAGAAGGGCAGAGCCAGAGAGTGACAGTGTCAGAGACACACACAGAGAAACAGAACACATACAGAAACAGAAGACAAGGGAGGCCGAGAAACAGTCAGAGAGACACCAATGAAGACAGAGCCAAAGCTGGGGAGAAGCAGGAGACTCCCCGAGACAGACAAGGAGGAGAGTGGGAAGTGGGCGAGGAGAGGGAGCAGCCCGTCTCAGGCCCCGCCTCTCCCGAGGCCCCTCCCCTGGTTTGCCCCCTGCCCAGCTCGCCCTCTGGGTACCTCTCTGCCATGGTCGCCCTCTCGGAAGAGAAGCTCGTATTTGATGATGCTCTCCTGCCGCGGGGGGCTCCATGAGAGCCCAATACTGGTCTCAGACTTGGCCTCAGCCCGGAAGTTCATGGGCTGGCCAGGCACTGCGGGAGGGGCCAAGGAAATGAATGGGGGACAGTCTTTGCACAGCCCTGCAGACTGCACAGGAGGCCCCCCCAAATATGGGCTTGGGGGCTGGGATGACACACAACATATGTTCCTACCTCCAGATCTAACACACAGTGCCAGCCTGGGGCTGCCAGGGCTGGAAAGACCCCTGACCACTGAGGGCCGGCCCCTGCCCACCCAGCACCCCAGGCCGGGGCTCACCTCCCTGCTGCGTCTTGACCTGGATGGGGTCCGAGAGGGGCCCGTCGCCCACCGAGGTGAAGGCCAGCACCCGCACGGTGTAGGTCTCGTCCTCCAGCAGGCTGCCCACGGTGGTCAGCAGGCTGTCGTCCACGTTGTGCTTCTGCCAGTTGCCCACGGGGTGCTCGGGCTCCATGGTGTAGTAGACGCGGTAGCCCCGGATGAGGCCGTTGGGCTCCACAGGCTCCTCCCACTGGATGATCATGGTGGTGGCGCTCAGCATGCGGGCCTGCACGTTGCGGGGGGCGCTGGCCGGCGCCTGCTCGCCCGTGCGGGTCACCACCGACTCGCTGGGCGGGCCCTGGCCGATAGAGTTGACGGCAGACACCCAGATCTCGTACTCGGAGTTGGGGCTCAGGCCACCGATGCTGTAGCGTGTGGTGGTGATGTCCTCCTTAATCTGGTAGGGCCCGTCCTGGCTCTTGGACTTGTACTCGATGACGTAGTACGACACTGGGTCTGGGTTGCCCGAGTCCCACGTGATGGTGATGCTGGTGGCTGTGTTCTCGGTCACCACGGGGGTCCCGGGGGCTTTGGGGAGAGCTGTGGGTGGGGAGGTGGGAGGGGGTGTCACACACTGGGGAACCTGAAGGCTGCAGGGCTTCTGGCCATTGCACTGCCCTCCCTAAGCCTGAGTTTCCTCCGTGGTGGTCACAGCCAACAGTCTGAGGGCCCCCACCTGGGTTGGCGAATAAAGTTTTATTGGCACACAGGCATGCTTCTGTGCTATCTCTGGGTGTCTAGGGATACGGAGCCCAGAGGTCCCTGGGACACAGATCAAATAGGCCACGGCAGACTCAAGCGTGTCCCGGAAAAGTCCTAACCCTCACACCTGTGTCCACCTACGAGCATGATCCCGTTGGGAAACGGGGTCGTTGTAGACGGTATCAGTTGGGGTGAGGTGGCACCGCAGAGCTGTGGGCCCCGGCCAGTACAGGCCATCTTCACTTTACGGCCGCTCGCTCTGGTGCACTCGGCAGATGCTGCGTTTTTCACAAATAGAAGTTTCTCTCTCTCTCTCTCTGTGTGATCAGAGTGGAAGTTTACAAAGCCAACTGGTTTTCTTTCATGACATTAACTTCAGAACCCACAAGGTGATCGTCCTGTTCCCTGTCCCTCCCTGTGATGCTCACCTCCATTAATCCTGCTAGCCTAACCCGTCCTGCTTTCTGCGAGGTTTCCCCATGCAAATGCTGCTCTCAGACTTTACCTGGTCGGTGAGTGGAAGGAGTGCCTTGTCGTTTACTGATCAACTAACAGGCTCGACTCCCAAGGTGGAGAGTTTTATTTCCGGTTCAAAGGTGACTGAGGGCCACATTTCTATTGAAATACGTCTCAACTGAGCCAGTAAGCCTGACATTTCTTTTTTTGTTTGTTTATTATTAATTTTAATGAACGTTTATAGAGACGGGATTTCCATTCAATCATTGTTGTGCCTTTCTCCCTGCCAACACTTCCCCCCAGTTCGCTCTTCTCTTTGGAAAGTAAAAGAAAAATTCTTTTAAAAATATGGAAGGCTTCACAAATTTGCGTGCCATCCTTGTGCAGGGGCCATGCTAATCTTCTCTGTATTGTTTCAATTTTAGTGTAGGTGCTGCCGAAGCGAGCACGAGCCTGGACTTTCTAACGCGTCTTTCAGATTGAGTCCGCACTCACTGCCCCCTACTACAATCGGAAGTTTTGGGGCGACCCCTTCTTGAGCAAGTCTAACAGCACCACTGCCCCCATCACAGATAAAGTGGGGTGCGCTGTGACCGCTCATGGTCTGCCACAGGGGTCTGCACTGAACGCCCACTGTCTGCACCGGGTGCTTGTCCACTGTGGCTGGTGGGCAAGGTGGGGTCACTTCCAGGTTGTGCTGCCCCGAGTTCCTAGGCTGCCATCTCCACAGGAGCAGGGCACCAGGGCTTTGCGCCCACCTGATGCCGGGCAGCCCTGGGGTCAGCACCCGAGCACCTAGTCGCCGTCCTGCCAGGGCTGCTTCCTGCAATGGGAGTGGGGGGCTTCAGGAAGAGGAGGCCCTGAGCCACTGCCGGAGGCTGCAGGAGGCCAGGAAGGTGCCACCTGAGCTGGCAGACAGGACACGGCCCTCCTGACACCCTGATTTGGACTTAACAGCTAACGGGGGGTCAGTGAAAGAGGAAGAGTCTCGGTGAGACATCCCGCCCCGAGGCTGCAGCACGGAGGGCAGTGGTGAGGAAGGGAGGAGGGGCAGGGCTCGCTGTGGGTCAGAACCCACTTGGCGGGGCCTGACAAACCGCACGACTGTGAGAGCAGGTGCCCTGGGTCATGGCACCAGCTGGGGTTCTGCTTGTAGAGGCCACAGCTGCCCACTGCGCCGGCGGGGCGGCCTCAGGGCTGCTGTGTCTGGTCTCCAGGGCTCTGCTCAGCCCTCTTCACGCCCGTTCTGTCTGTTCCCACCTCACATTTGCTGTTCCCTGCACCTCTTTTCCAGACAGCCACCGAGTCTCCAGCTCCTCTCAAATGCTACTGTCTCCTCTGGCACCTGACCGGAGGCGTACTTCCCCTGAGGCCACCTCCTTGTCCTGTTCACCTGTCCTTCATGCCAGCAGGGACCACTCGCAGTCACCACTCAGGGACTGTCATGTTTCCCCCCATTTCTCCTCATAAACACCTCCTGCAAACACCTCCTCTGGGGGGGGGAAGTGGGAGGAGCCTGGACCCCTCCACCTGGCTGGCTCTGCAGCCCCGGAGCAGGCACTGTCACCACTTTCCAGAAGGGGGTGGCCAGTCACATGGTCCCTGTTGTGTCCACTCTACCCTCGTGGCTCCAGGGCCCACAGAAAACCCACAGCTGTGGGGCTGACACCCACAGCAGTGACTCTGTAGGACCCGAGGCTGCAGATCTCTAGGGGATTAGCCTGTCTCACTGTTCTTCCACGGAGCAGGTGTGTGGATTTGAACCACTGACCTTCGGGTTGGCAGCCAAGTACTTTAACCACTGTACTATACGAGAGCTTTTGAAAGACACACAAAACTCCAGGCTCTCTGCGTTCTAGAGGATGCTGTCTCCCAGCAACCGTGCCGGGCAGAGGAGAACTGCCCCCGAGCTAGCATTTTAATGGAGGCAGATTCCCACACTGTTTTCCCAAGGAGTGGCTGGTGGGTTTGCACGGCTAACCTTTGGGTTACCGGAGGGCAACATGTAACACACCCCACGCCCACACACCACCGGAGCAACCGAGCACAGCTCTGTGCTGGTAAAACTTGATTTACAAACACAGCGGCGGGGGCAGATCTGGCCCTCAGGTCAGAGTGCCCACCCGGGCTCCCACTCAGCTCTCCTCTGAGCCTTCGCACATGCTGCTCCCTCTGCCCGGAACACTGTTCCCCAGCTTCTGTCTCCTTCCCACCTGTTCCGCTTTCCATTTCCACACTGTGCCTGTTCGGATCTGCCCTTCCCAGGTGAGGCCTTTCCTGGGAGGTGAGGCCTTTCCCGGGAGGCGAGGCCTTTCCCATGAGGCGAGGCCTTTCCCGGGAGGCGAGGCCTTTCCCGGGAGGTCTGCACGGCACCCTGTCCCCTGACCCTGATTCAGCACGGACGGAGCCCAGCTATCTGTGAGCGACTTCTGCTCACTGCAGCCCTCGGTCCCCGGCTGTCAGGTGGAACTGCTCCGCTGGCCTGCTGATTCCCCATAAACAGATGGACTGGCTTCACCAGGCCTGTCTTCTGAGGTGTCACTCGAACTGTCTGCCATCAGGTGAGCTGACCGTGTTCACTGTTTGTGCCTCCTGGACGTGGTCACAACACTAACCGGCCTGGACTGGCGCAGCACGGCTGTGTGAGCAAGCTCTACACAGAGCAGGACTCTGTCCTAGTCGGGAGTCCCTTGGTGACGCAAATGGTGAACACCTTCAGCTTCAGCTTCCGAGTCCTTCCCCCCAGATGCCTCAGAAGAAAGGCCTGGCGACGTCCCTCTGGAAGCTCAGCCCTTGAAAACCTCACATTACACAGAACACCACACAAGGGTTGCCATGACATGCCGGCAAAAGGTGGCGTCCTGTTCCTACGGGCCTAGCCCGGATTTCTTACAGCCACACACGTGACCATTCACTGCAGACCAGGAGGGACACTGACGCCACTCTCAACGTCGAGGCCGCCCCACTCACATTTCACGGTGATTTGCGCCACTGCCTCGATGACGCCCAGGCTGGACATGGCCACGCACGTGTAGTTGGCCGAGTCCTTGACGTCCGTGAGCTCCAGGACGTTCCGGCCCACGGGCATGTCGTCTTCGGGCGTCAGGTCCTCAGCCCCCTGCATCCACTTGACGTAGGGCATGGGCGAGCCCACGGCCACGCAGGTGATGTTCACGTTCCCGCCCGGCATGATCTCGTGACTCATGGGTAAGATGGAGAAGCGGGGGGCCACGCGGCGCACTGGGGCAGTGGCACGCGGGGCGGGGCCGGGGTGGGCGGGGGGCAGAGGAAACACCAGAGACAAGCAGGAGGAACAAAGGGTGGAAGGAAAGAAAGAAAGAAAAAAACAAACAGGAAAAAAAACAAAACGGAAAACCATTTAAATATAAACAGGGCTGTTTCCTTCCCCCAACTGACTTTTTTTTAAAAAATGAAATTAAAAGAAAAGAACCAACTTAAAGAACCAAATTCCAACACAAAGGAAACTAAAACTTCAAAGGAAGGTACTTCACAAACAATATATAGAGAGATATATCAATATATAATAGACATGAAGCACTATCATCTCATAGCAACGGGGTTCCAAGACCAGGGTGCCTGGTCTCGGCACAGATACGGACACAAAAATTTATCAGCCGTTTCTCATCTTTGCAGACGGACGTGGCCTGGGGCACAGCCCCTCCACCCACTCCTGGGGGAGGGAGCTTTCGGGGACTGTGGGGAGATCCTGGTGGCAGACATGGGTTACCTCTGCACAGGCCCCATCTTCCAACCCTCCCTGGTTACCTGGGGACGGGGAGAGGGCTGAGACTGGCTGAGCTGGAACTAGGGACAGAGAAGAGCTTTGGGAACCTGCCCCCTGATTCTTATCCCTCTTTGGGGGGCCCAGGGGCCCGCCCACTTCCCCCGGGGCCCTCCAGGAAAAGATGAGAAACTCTAATGAAATTTTTGTGGTTTTTTTTTGGGTTTAGAAACCCTTCTAAAAGCTTCTGTCGGATCTGACAAGTTTCCATCAATAGATGCAGCTCTCAGAGTCACAAACATCATGCAAAATAGGTTGAGAGAGAAAGAGAGAGAGAGAGAGAGACAGAGAGAGAGAGAGGGAGGAGAGATGGAATGCCAGAGACAGGTAGGACGACAGAGAGAGAGAGGAGCTGGGGAGGATGGAAGAGGAAGGCCTTGTCCTCAGGGGCCTTTGGTGCACACCCTGGGGGACCAGAGAGGAGCAGCGAGAGATAGAGAGAGACAGGGATAGAGAGAGGGAAGCACAGAGAAAGAGAGAGGAGGGGAGGGGGCCCACTTCAATGCTGCATATTAACTCTAGCGGATGTAACCCAATGTGACACGGCACATTGTCACATCACAGCCCTGGCAGAATAATAGAGAGGATATTAATAATAATAATAAACGAGAGGATGAACTTGGAAGTGGAGGCAACAGGGGCATGTTCTGTGCAGAACTCAGCGGGGAGTGGATGCAGCCTTCGGCCCCAACCTCACGGACCGTGAAGGCAGCAGGATGCATTTCGTGGGCTCCATTTTCAGAAGGTAAATGGGTCCTGGGAAAGGGGTGGATGCTGAGGGGGTGTTGGGGGGGGTGTTTCCCCCAGGAGATGGGAGATTGCAGAGAGGGGCTCAGGACAGCTTAGTAAATCCTTCTTGCTGGAAAGGGGTCAACTGTCGGGGCCTATAGGTCACGTAGGCCAGTCTCCAGTGTGAGGGGCAGGAAGGTCTCCATTGGACAGAACAGGGCTGGGGGGTCAGAAAGGCGGAATGATTTATTAAAGGCCACTAAATTCTGGGATGTGACTTCTTCTGCCCACCCCCGGTGACTCTGAATTGGACATCCTATTTGGGAGACCAGCCCACTACGGTAGTTTCAAGGCTCAAGCCTGCCCTACAGCAAAGGGGCTCCAGAAATGAAGGAGAGAGGACAACTCAGCCCTCTTCCAGCCTCAACTCCTTCTGGAAGCCCTTGTCCCCTGCCCCTCAGGTCCTGGCTGGAGGCAAGGGGGCGTATGTTTGGGCAGGAATGGAAGGCAGGAAGGTGGCAGCCCTTCGGAAAACGAAGCCCCACGAAAAGTCCAGAGTCACACTGGAGACAGGATGAAGGAAGTTGAAGGTACCGCTGGGGGTGGGGGGAGTTGAGGTGGGGTGGTGAGGGGAGACAGAGAGGGCATGCAGACAGACTGGGGGTGATGGGGTGGGGGCAGAGGGGCTGAGATGAGAGGTCTTTCTGGCAGGGCTAGGTAGAGGCGGGGGAGTCAGTGCAGGGGGAGAATGGGGTCTGGCCAGCCAGTGGACGTGGTCCTGGCCAGCCGCCGGCATCCACAGCGAGGCACGGGTGGGTGGGATGCCGACGCTGCGTTGCCATGGAAACGGAATACGATGGGGAATGAGCGTGGAGGAGCTAATTAATCAAGGACAGAAACGGCATCGACGTCCAAAACAAAACCAGGAAAAACAAATGCAGAAACAGAGCGAAAAAAAAAAAAAGAAAAAGAAAAAAGAAAATAATAAAACCACCAAACCCAAAAGCCAAACAAAAGCCCCTCAAACCAAAACCCTAAAGCAAAACATGGAATGGGTGTGGGGCTGAAAATCGGGGTCTGAAAGGAGGAGGGGTGTGGCTTCCCCAGGAAGGTGCCCCCTCGGCAGAACACAGGATCCGGCCTCCCCACCCTGCCCCCAGGGGCCTCGGCTGAGGGTTCAAGGTGGCCACAGGGCAGCATCCTCACGGATAAGGAAGCTTCGGAGCAAACCGACCCAGCCCCCCACCTGAACTCCGCTCTGCAAAGCCCCTGGCCACGGCCCAGCTGCACCTGCCTGGTTGTGGGGCAAAACCCACTGCAGTGTGGATGCTACTGCAAAACTAACACTCCTAAGACCTGAGACAGCCCCAGAAAACCTCGCTGGCCAGAAGCGGCCTTAGGAAAGACCCTCATTCTCCCAGAGCCTGTGTTTCTATGCAACAGGAACTCTTAAGGACGTGCTGAGATGTGCACCGGGCTGAGCGCGGACACTGGGGTACTCCTGCCACTCAGGGGGCAGGCAGGGAAGGTCCACCAGAATCTCCATCCAAAGGGAGCTTGTGGGGGAATGGGAGAAAATTCTAGTAAAAATTGCAAATAGAATTTCCACTGAGTTCTTGCCTCGTTCTCCTCCTTCCCACAACTCTGTCCTTGTGCCCGTTTTTCAGAGGAAGGAGTGGGCTGGAAATGGTGCTAGGGCTCCCTGGAAGTCACAGGGGAAGGAAGCAGTGGGACACATCTGAGATCCTGGCCTTATTCCTGCCTTTCAGGGAAAAACAAGGCTTCCCCTATCACAATAAGCAAGCTGTTAAGTTTGTGGCAGAAAACAAGAATTACAGGCAGGTGTTCCCTGTTGGCACCCAGATCTTTCAAAACTGGGTGTCTTCACCCTCGGGGGACACGAGAGAGGGCACAGCTAACCCGTCAATTCACTTCCATCAGTCCCACCAGCTGAATCACGTCCACCGCCCTCCTAAAGTAAGGCAGGCCCTGAAGTCATCAGAAGAAGACTCACAGCCCAAGGTTCATTTACAGAGGGCTGTTGGAGCGAATTTTAAGACGTAGCTTTCGGCTTAAGTTAAACCCGAGCCCACAGTCATCTGCCAGACTCAACACCTCGCCCAAAAGGCCCTGTTCACGTGTGATCTAGAATCGCTCTTCAGAGGGGTCACGGTCTGGAAGGCACCTGTAACTTTTCTTTAAAACGGAACGAAGGCTTACATCTTGGGCGTGTAACAGCTGTACCATGCAGGACCGTTCAATTGGAGGTCGGTTAAAGAGGGGACAATGTGTCTCAACCACGGTAACTCTGGGGCTCATGTCCCCACGCACAGCCAGCAGCCGTCGGTTAAATGAACCGCCACCAAGCTCTGAGCGCGTGCTGACATCTAACAGTGTCCACGTGCCGTGCCGTGGGGACAGGGCTGGTTTGCTCCGAGTCTGAGGACGACTGGCCCCCTGGGCACCGGGGTGGCTCGGCCCGCCCTGGGCGGGGGGCGGGTTGGCAGCTGACGCTGTGTTCTGGGGTGCTGACACCCACCCCACGTCATCTTTCCACCCCCGGCTGCAAGCTTGAGGTGCAGGTTAGAGAGTAAGGTGGGCGCGGAGCCCTCCGGACAGAGAGGCCCCGCGGGAGCCCTGCCCCCAATTACCGACCTGAATGGAGGGTCCAGGCGGGTTAGAGGGGACCACACCAGCCTTGATCCTCAGCAGGCTCCAGCTGGCTCTCGTTCCCAGCTCTTCTCGTCACCGAGTAGCCGGGGGTCCCAGCGGGGGGACCCGCGTGGGTGAGGGGGTTAGGAGGGTGG